GAACAGAAAGAGGAGTCAAGTGGAATCAAAAATTATTCCGCAAATCGGGCCGCCGGAGGCAGAACAAGCTTAAATCCTCAAGATTGCAATTTGCTGCAGCAGGAAGTACCAGCAATCATGGTTTATCTCGGGCACACTCTCGAAGACCCATCTGAACTTTGAACCCATTATCTTCATCCCGTCACAATTGAATACAGTTTGGTTTGATCTTGGTTCCGCTACTTTGCTCGGCTCTCGGACTCGCTTACAGTATTCCATCGGCAGAGTACTCTTCTTCTCCGCTCTGGTTTGTACGTACACGCAATTGACAAGTGTCATTGGTTTGATTCCGCACGCGATTTGATAACCTTGCTTTAGTAAGGTCCCCCTCCCTCGAAATTAAGTCGCCGAAATCTGCCAGAAACAAATATTTGCGTCTTCGTTAGATTCCCGAACTGCCTTCTGTCTGCCAGGAACAAACAAGTCCAAATACTCGGGGTTCGCTGAACCTGAAAACTCTTGATCTGCCAGGAACAAATAGATCCAAATACTGTAGTATCTCCATCCCTCAAAACCCTCGAGCTCAGGCTGTCAACCCCAACACACTGCAATTGGATGACGAACAATCCACCAGTATACCATTTTTCAAGTTTTTGCCTGGGTCAACACAATTGGTTAGACACTTCCCGGGACCCGCCCAAGCAAGGTTTGAGACGGCAGGGCCGGCCCCTCGTTATGAGGCGGATCTCAAATGGATCTGGAGTTTCAAAGCACGCAAGTGTCAGCAATCGGGCGGCATGCGGAAGCATCTGATCTACAATCGCAGGTTCATACACTGACAGCCGGCCACAAAAGAAGGACGGAAGGAACACGGTCGATGTACGTTCAACTTCCCGTCCCCCGAAAATGCAACCACCCTACGATCCCCTGATTCTATTTTGTCTGAATCTGAACTAACCTAAGCAGAAAAATGATCTTGGTAGATCTGGGTTCGGCTGAAGATGATTTTTCTGAGCACGTAACTCGAAAAGCGTCAGCAACTCGTGGCTGATCTTGGACGCAATCTCAAGAGATCTGGGCTGACCCATTAGTGATGTGGTATGTACTTTGGTCAGCGCACACGAGTCAGCCAATGCATGCTTGATTCTGCTTGATTCCCAAACGCAAACCCGATCTGGGCAGGCGAGCGAAATGCAGCCACCGTGAACATCCTAATGAATCCATGATCTGATCGCTATATTCGGGTAGGACAACATCGCATGCCGAGAGCGAGCATCATCCCCCATACTCATCCTGTAGGTAACTTGAATAGTCAGCCCAGGGCCGACCCACCTCATAATCCGCCCATCGTAAGCCCTTGAGGCGATCGTTGTTCGGTTATTGAAGCTTCGATTGAATTTGGGCTATTGCCTAAGTTGAACATTGGGATGATGCTTTCTTAGTCATGCAAATCTCGCTATCCCCCAAGTCGAGCATAACTTTTTTGAGCACGTAACTCGAAAAGCGTCAGCAATCGCGATCTCGGACGCAATATGGACTCGGAAGCAATTTAGAGGAGGGTGTGAAGTACATTAATTGTCAGCCGCTGATTAATATTAATTACAGTACCTCCCTCGTCTCACGCCAAGCTGCCTGGCATAATCAGCCTATGGTAAGCCCTTGCTTAGCGCTCGATCTATAGCTTAGAGGCTTAGAATCCCAGGACTCTAGAATAAACAGCCCATCGTAAGCCCATCAGCCCATTGGGACGATGGGGGCGCGTCTCGGCTATTGCCCATTCGGACAATAGGCGTCTCGGCTATGGCCGTTGGGCTACTATTGGGCTGATGGGCTCGGCTCCAATAAGTTGAACCAGGTTCAACAAGATCTTCGCAACACGTAACTCTAAAGGTGTATGTAACTAACCACACCTAATCCGGTCGTGCTGCGCTAGGAAATCCCGCTGAGTAATAATTACTGAACCAGGGAACCTGCCTCGTCGCACGCCAAGCTGCCTGGCATACTCAGCCTATGGTAAGCACAAGCCCATCAGCTTGCCCGATCCAGAGCGGAGGTATCCCAGAATAATCAGCCCATCGTAAGACCATCAGCCCATTGGGACGATGGGCGGCTCGGATATTGCCCATCATCCCAACCTCAACTTAGGTGAGACGCCCATCAGCCCAACGCTCAATGTAGGCGAGCTCATCATCCGAATGGGTAATAGCCGAGGCGCCCAAGGGCGCCCATCGCTGCCCATCATCCCAATGGGTTGATGGGCTTACCATGGGTCGATTATGAGTTCATCTTGGCGTGAGAGGTCGGGATCGGCCGAGTGGAAGAAATTGAACACGACCTTCTAGACACGTAGCTCGAAAAGTGTAAGCAAATCACTATCGATCTCGGACGTAATCTGGACAATCGAGCTATGATATGTAATCTAACAAAATCAACCGCGCCGAAGAAAGATTCGAGGCAGCGTGATTTTTCGTAGGTATCTCAGAATAAACAGCTCATCGTAAGCCATCAGCCCATTGGGACGATGGCCGGCTTGGCTAAGTTGCCCATTGGGCTGATGGGCTCGGCTATGTTGAGCGTTGGGCTCTGTTGGGCTACTATTGGGCTGATGGACTGTCGTTGGGCGCCTCGGTTAAGTTGCCCATTGGGCTGATGCCACGATGTGAACAAGTTGAACAAGATTTCCGGAACACGTAACTCGAAAGGTGTAAGCAAATCGCTATTGATCTCGGACGCAATTCTGGAGAATCGAGCTATGTAATACGCCACACCTAAGAGAGATTCGAGACAGCATGCTACGTAACTGGCTGGTGTCAGCGCTCTAAATTCTCGGAGAGGATCTGGCGCGATCGGGGGCCATCGAACCATGCGAGAAGGACGTCCAACGTTGGGAATGCATCCCGCAGAACTCCCAATTATTTATTGTAGGTTGGAGCATGCGATGGAGGCCGCTGACACTGTGAATCCTAATGACCTGGACATGGCCATGCCGTAATGGACAACGGAACAGAGCGGAATCCGGTCGGGCCGTGCAGCGCTAGCAAACCGTGAAGATCGCTACGATAAATTATAATTGTCAGGCGCTGATTAAGATTACTTACCTCGTCTCACGCCAAGACGAACTCATAATCAGCCTACGGTCAACACAAGCCTATCGTCTTGCCCGATCATCCCAGCCCATCGTAAACCCATCAGCCCATTGGGACGATGGGCTCTCGTTGGGCTCTCGTTGGGCGGTCAGTTAAGTTGCCCATTGGGATGATGGGCGGCTCGGCTAGTTGCCCATTGGGCTGATGGGCTTTCGTTGGGCTCGGCTATGTTGACGTTGGGCTGATTGGCTCTTGCCTAAGTCAAGGTTGGGCTCGGCCAAGTTGAAATCGAATACGCCCTTTTAGACACGTAACTCGAAAAGTGTAAGCAATTCGTGGTGGAGCGTCAGCGAGAGAGTGTAAGCGATCTCGGACACAATCTGGAGAGCATCTGACGAGTAACCAATGAGTTGGTAGTTGAGTCGGAGGTGAAATACAACATCGGAAATCTGGCCGACGGCCGTTGAAGAAACAAACGCCCCTATCAACGCACAGCGAACGCTAGTCACCACTCGATGTCCTCACAGTCAGCCCGGATCACTCACCTCATCAAAGCACGATGCATTGGGCGCAAATTGACACGACTTCGACGAGCGTGACTGAGTCTCCGCGATTCAGAGACGCTCGTGACCGTGGGACCCTCGACCTAGTTAGACTTCGCTTAAGCACCCACTAGCGTAGCGACCGCACCAAGAAGACACGGAGAACGACCCCGGGCGCCCGACCACGCCGCACGCCGTCCCTCTCAATCTAAACGCAATATGCAGCGAACGCACATGGAGCGCTGCTTCGACTGTCCTCGCTCTTCGCGCTCTTTCCTGTCCCCAGTCGCGTTTTCTACCCGCCCCTCGCGCTCCGCTATTACTCTCTGTTTCGCGCCACGTGCCACTTGCCCCGCCCTCCCGGCCTCCGCCCTCGCTCCTCTTCTCTCGCGGCTCGCCCTTCGCGAGACGCGGCGCGTTCTCCGTCGTTCCCTTCCCTTGTGCCCTGCGTCCACGTTATCCTTCCCTCCTGGCGATCCTTTCCTTTCGTCTGCATTCCGCACATGCATAATTGAAGGCTGATCGTGCATGCAGGACCCCGCGCCGACGCCCCACGCGTAGCAGGCGGGGACGTTCTGCTCGAACGCGAGGGCTATGCGCCGCGCACTGGGCCGCCCGTAAGCCGCAACGCGAGCACGAACACGAATGCAGGCGCGCACTTGACGGCGCCTAATACGCGGTGGAGCCCGAATCCGAACCCCGGCGATAACGGGTGGCCGCGGCGCTAGCGTCTGTGTCTACAGGACAGGTCTTTTCATTCTTCACGATGGCTTTTCCTGTTCGTTCGTTTCCTGGGCCCGTTCGCTCGACTTTTTTTCGACATTCCAAATGCCTGCAAGTATCGAGGTGATGAGTAGAAGAAGGAGGCGGACGTGGTGCACGGCGCACGACTACATTCGTTACATTCTCGTTATTGTTGCAAGCAATTGAACGGCGTTCGACTCCCCGCGTCCGCATACATCTATTTGAGCGAAACATTTTTTTATATTCCGAAGATTGCTGAAAAACTTGAATATATGGAGAGGTAGGATGGATGAAGGAAGCGGACGTGGTGCACGGCGCACGACTGCACTCTGTGAACATGAACACTTGATATTTGCAAGCAGTTAGACGGGGTTCGACTCCCCGCGTCCGCCTCAGACTTCCCTTGTGACTTTTTAGTTCCGAAGAGCGGCTCAAAGCCTATATATGGAGCAGTAGGAGGGATGGAACAAGCGGACGTGGTGCATGGTGCATGACTGCCTTCACTTCGATGGATGCGCCCATAATGTAAGCAGTTGAACGGGGTTCGACTACCCGTGTCCGCATGGCGCCGGCATATGTCTCCCAAACTTTTTTTCCTTGAAGGCTTCTTACTGCCCGAATATATTGCGATACAGAATAGAGGAGAGAAGCGGACGTGGTGCACGGTGCGCCACTGCCCTGAATTGAATCCATTCCTGTGGTAAGCAGTTGACCGGGGTTCGAATCCCCGCGTCCGCCTGCGCCTCTTCGTTCGCTACGGAATTGTTTAATGGAAGGTGCCTGAAATAATTGCATGAGGATTGGGTAGGGATAGACGAAGGAAGCGGACGTAATGCACGGCGCACAACTGCATTCACTTCGACGGGTGATTTCAGGTAAAGCAGTCAGACGGGGCTCGACTCCCCGCGTCCGACTCATCTTGTTGAATCTAGATCTTTTTTAGAAGGCTTGCAACAGCCTCAATGGATCGAGGTGAGTAACAGAGGAAGAGAACCGGACAGGGTGCACGGCGCACCACTGCACTCTGGCATCGTTAGGAGTTAAATTGTAAGCAGTTGAACGGCGTTCGATTCCCCGCGTCCGCCTAGTTGATTGTTTGCAGGAACTTTTTCTGGAGGGCTTCCAACCACAGGATATATCGAGGTGAACAATAGAGGGTAGGAGCGGAAGTAGTACCTCTGCCTTCACTTCGATGAATGCATCGACTTGTGCAAGCAGTTAGACGGGGTTCGATTCCCCGCGTCCGCATTGTTGTATTTCGTGCAGGCATTTTTTATTCTGCACAACATGGATGCGTCAAGGCTAGGAATAGAGGAATTGGCGGACCAGGTGCACGGCGCACCACTGCATTCTGTAAAGCACCAGTTCACTTGCAACCAGTCAAACGGGGTTCGACTCCCTGCGTCCGCCTTGCTTGGCCCTGTGGCTTTTTCTGGAAAGCTTCTAACCGCCTGGGTATATGGACAGGTAAATAGGTAGTTGATCAGTTTTCTTGAATCCAACGTTCCCCCACTCACCTTTGTGCGACTCTACTTGGTTTCTTGACGACTCACACGGGGTCCTATCCTGTTTAAAGACCGGGACCTTACACCGTTCAGCTACTTACAACGTGTTCTGGATTCGTACATAGAATACAGTGGTGCGCCGTGCACCACGTCCGCTTACTGCCTCTATTCCTAGCATCGAGAACTGGAAGGTTTTGGGTTCCTTTGGAGATAATACAGAAAGGAAAAAGTGCGCTAGGAGCCGACAAGGCGAACTGCTTATAACTCTGTCTTACTACGGATGGCAGCGGACTTACGCCATGTGGACAAAGTGATTGAACAATGGGTTTTCGATCATTTCTCAGCTCCCAGTGCATCGTTTGACATGAAATCAAACATAGGGTAGGTGAGCAATGTGTTCATTCCAATTGATACAATCAAAATTTATTGTGCCTTCAGAACACCGGAATCGGAGAAACCCCGATTTTTGAACTTGAGCAGTGATTTTTTTTCTTCGGTAAGTCCAAATCAGCCAAATTGTAGCCCTGGGTCTCCTATTGACTGTAGCAAGTTGAACGGTCTCAAACTATACAGGGGGATAGGTGCTATGGGGCTCGCAAAATGACCAGAAACAGCCAAAATGGCGTCAAATCGGCTCAAACCGGCCAAAATGGGCACTTAGCGGGCCCTGTAGGGTAAGATCCCCTGTATATTTTTGCATGATTTAAGTTGGGGAACATCTTTTAACATCTTGAGCCACAATCTAGGTGATTCAAAGTTGCTGGAAAAAAAAATCAACAACCATGTTGGAAAATAGCGATTTTTGTATGAAGGCCAAGGGGGTACGAAAATGCGAAAATATCAACATACCTTCCATTTTTATTTTCAGAGGGTCGAGCTCCCCCCCCCCCCCCACGTAAGCGATTTGTAAGCAGCACGTGAGCTTCGCTTAGCCTTCCCTTGGCAGTAAACGTAGCAGAGGCCATACTTTTACTATATATGTCTTTTAAATCATCCCCAGTATCGTTCAGATGGGTTTCCAGGCAGTAACTTATATTTTCATTCAAAAAGACATTTCGGCACTGTCCGCCGCGATCAGTACACGTGATGATTTTCTCACTGCCGAGTGAGGCCGAGTGGCTGTACCCCCACCCCCCCCTCCAAATGCAGTCATAATCTTTTGGTCTCTATCTCGACGACCACTCCACCGCTCACCTTGGGAGTGTGATTTTCGGAATCCTCATGGAAAATAGAGTCAGACTGGGACGTCATATAAACTATCCGCATTTCCGAAGCCCCTTGATGAAGGCCATTGTAGTGGCACATCACGAGCTATCCGGCTCGGAGCGATTCATGTCCGACGCGCTCTTCTTCAGCACACGTAATCTGACAGACAATTCGGATCACACTATTGCATGGGTCTTACGCGAAAGCAGCAGTAACGGCACGACGGCGCTGTTCGACTACGCTGTGGTAACAATCGATGAAAATAGCCTGACCACAAGTTCATCGTATGTCCGATGCACATTTATGAGTACTTATGTAATCGTTCTTTTGATCAAACACAGATGAGGTTTTTTCAGGCTCATCGCAAAATGTCCCATCTCAAGTTTGTAAAGAAAATAGTGGCCTCGTTAAAGGCCGTTGAGTTCTGTGTTTGCTATCGTCGGTCGGAATGTTGGTTACACTTCCGACCAGTGTGAACTTAAGTCAGCACTTAATAAACTTGGGTGGGAGAAGCCTTGCACTGCACCTGCGGCAGAAGCAAGGTCGGAGCAGAGAGCACACCCTAAATAGGATGTTCGGAGCAAGTTCGGCTACCCCCACGTATGTCAGCTGTGTGTTCACTGCTAAAATTATTTCCAAGGGATGGTGGGTGGGTTGAAAAACCGCGAGCCGCGTCAGTTGAGCGCGGTGAGGAGTGAGAGCGTGGAGGAGTCGACGTTCTCGACAACTTCAAATCACGAGCACAGCCACTCCGAAATAGGATTGACTGTGCTTTCCTTGAACACGCTCAACTTTCTTAACGAGGCCTCCCTAGAGCTTGGGAGTGTTGTTCGTTCCTCACAGCACTCTTAGCTCAAGTACCACCTCGTTAAAGGCCGTTGAGTTCTGTGTTTGCTATCGTCGGTCGGAATGTTGGTTACACTTCCGACCAGTGTGAACTTAAGTTAGCACTTAATAAACTTGGGTGGGAGAAGCCTTGCACTGCACCTGCGGCAGAAGCAAGGTCGGAGCAGAGAACACACCCTAAATAGGACGTTCGGAGCAAGTTCGGCTACCCCCACAAAAAACAGCTTTCTCCAGCATAGCTGGCGAAAGCGAGACAGTCGAACTTGCTCGGTGCTCCGACCAAGGGCGGCTCCCCACCATTTTACAATATTACCTTTGCGCATTAACCGCATGCCAAACCAAGTATTCCGATCGTTATATTCTTGGGTGCGGGTATTCAACCGTCTTGAGCATCAAAGAAGGTTCCGATGGCGGCGCAAACCTAACTTGTTGCCCATCGACGCCTACACCCACCACTGGGTTGCTTGGTGCCAACGAGTATCCAACTCGCTGCCCCTCATCGACGTCCGACAGGTAATCACCCGCCGCTCGGTTGTGCTAGCGCTAACAAGTACGCAACTCGCTGCCTGTCATCGACGCAGACGGGTATTCGACCCGCCGCTCGGTATTGGCATTGACAAATATTCCACTTGCCCCCCAACGTCGGCGTCGACGGTTAAATCTACCCGCCGCCCGGAAACAAAAAACCTGGCGTGAACTGCCACTCGGCTTGTCCCCCATTCCCTGTCCCTTTGGACGATTTTTTTTTTTTTTTTTTTTTTTTCGGTGACTCAAACTCCTGAAATCCTATTCAGAGCTTTGCACCAAACTTATTGAATACAAATCTAGTGTGTTACCGGCCCTCCCGCGCATATGGCGAGTATCGCGCACTGGAGTTGAGTCTGCCTCGATCCGGTCCCTCGTGGTCCGTCGGTGGCGTTGATTCCCTGCGTGTGTATTCATCAGCGTGGTCGGCTTCCTCATCGTCGCCAGCGGCCTCCGTCGCCGCCTGAACCCTCTCTATCTGCCGTGCTACCTTGTTCTCAAAATACCGTGCCCGACTCGCCTCGAAATCGCGCTGGTAGACCTCCTCATCCCATATGGTCGGATTCCAGGTTGCCCGCTGCATCCAATCCTTGCACCAGATCTTGATCATCATGAAATCTTCTTCATCATGCAGGATGACGGATGAGCAGTGATGGCGGTGGTTGTCGTACGCTTCCAGCTGCGCTGAAACTCCTGGAGGCGCGTTTTGGACGTACCAACGTCTGTAATTGGCATGAGCCTCGTTGAAGCGGGTGTGGGAGAGTGCGGTCTGGTCCTCGAAAATGGACGGGTCGATAGCGTGGATTTTGACCGGATTTCCGTTCTCGCCGATGATAATGTGTTTCTGTGGCTGATATTTTGGGACATTCTGATTGACGAACATGTCGTGGATGGTTTCGTTCGTGAAAAGGGATAGCTCCAGGTAAATCCCCGCCGTTGCGAGCTCTAGAAGGCGTGCGGAGAAAGGGAATCTGCTATTCCCGATGCTTGAAGCTGGCCGAAGTAGAGAGGGGTTGAAGATGCTGGGGATGGGAGCTGTATCGATGGGTGTGACCGGGGTAGGTGCAGGTGCAGAAGCCGGGTTGGTAGATGTGCCGCTCTGAAGACCTGCCATTATCGAGAGGAAAAGAGTTTGCTGCTGCAGGCCCAGGTTTTGCATGATCGCCAGAACAGCCTGTGCGTCCGTGGGTGGTGTGGTGTTAGTCCCCGCAACCTGTGCGACTGGGTCTGGAACTTCAAATTCGTCGTCCGAGTCATCTTCCAGTCTTTCATCATCGCCTATGGTGTCTCGGGCAATGGCCCCTCCCGTTCTCTGGGAAGCTCTGGACGTGTTCCTCACCTGCTTCTCGGCATTCATCCTCTTCCGCGTCGCCCTACGTGTCATCCGACTCTCCAAAAACAGCCTCTGCGCTTTTTTCCACTCTGCCGACCTCACGCCCTGTGTTGTGTTTGTGGGTCCAAAACCCGCCATGAACCACGAGGAGCTGTACTGCCGAGTATAGGGAAATCGAAAAACCGCGAGCCGCGTCAGTTGAGCGCGGTGAGGAGTGAGAGCGTGGAGGAGTCGACGTTCTCGACGACTTCAAATCACGAGCACAGCCACTCCGAAATAGGATTGACTGTGCTTTCCTTGAACACGCTCAACTTTCTTAACGA